ACAATTTCTGACAGCATTACATCACAAAAGTTAGCTGTAAGATATCCCAGGACTATAGTTTTTCAGCCGGGAATGTTGCACTCTCAAATTTGGTATTCTATTTGCAAAGAAAAAAGAATAGTTATTGAGCCAGGCTGGTAAACGAAGCTTGTGAGCCATCAGAGTTTACCTTAAACAGCCAGGTGGCTTTCTCGAATTTCTGCATAAACCTTTACTGCGCCAGAAGCATTAATCCGACAACGAAAGGATTTATTTGAGGTTGCAACATTTCTACTTTTGCCCACAAGGAGAAGGCAGCTATTTCTGCTACAGAGAGGTCAGCTTATTTTGTCCCAATGACTTTCTCATTTCCATGCTTTCAATAACAAGTAAACCTTCCTAATTGACATATAGTATTTTCCCTTGGTGTTAGTATGTTGGAATTCTGAGGGCTTGAAGTCTCTCTACTGAAAATGATTCTATGTAATTTATACATTTACTTTTTATTTCACAATCTGTTGGAAATTATTCCAACAGACATAGGTTATTTTTATATCTATAATGTTAAAATACTGTCATGGTTGAAAGCAAGGACAGGAAGAGATCTTTCATATTTGAATTGGGGTTTCTCCACTTACTGGAAGTTACCTGACCTCCCACTACCTCAGCTTTTTCATTTGGAAATAATAATAATAATAATAACTACTACAGAGGGCTAGTATGAGGATTAAATGAGATGATACATATAAAGCACTTAGAAGAGAGGCTGGATATAGTAAATATTCTCTATTAGATTAGCCCTTATTATATTCTTGGGTGATAGCTTATTGCAACTCCTTTATACTGATAAATGATTAAGGTTATAGGCTCTGTCAGACTTTAAGTCTCAGATCTGATACTTCCTAGTTATGTTTTTTTGTGAACAAGTTACCTATCAGTTGTTCCCGTCTCCCCATTTGTAAAATTGTGACAGTAGTGTCCTTACTTCATAGGGCTACCGAGAAGATCCAATGATATGATATCTTCTTCTAGTGTTTGACAAATTAAAGTGCTCAGAGATATTATTTTTAATATGGTAATTGCTACAATATTTGATCACACTTTCTATTGGTGGGGGGGGGGGCTGTTTCTCACATATTTTTGCCTCTTAAAATACTATCAGCTTCCATAATCAAGATTGAAGTCATTCCATAAAGTCTTTAATCACTGGTGCCAAAATTAAACACTTCTTTACACACCAGTAGCCCTGAGTTTACATCATTCATAACACTTAACCCAGTATTTTCTCTATTAAGAAAGACACACCTTTTGTTAATTGTAAGCTTCTTAAAGACTAAGACTACGTTTTGAATACTTTTTATCTCATAGGTTGCATTGCACTGGGCAAGTGAGCAATGGATATTTCCCTAAGGACATATTTTTAAAAGCTGAATGCTTCCTAACCTATTTTCAAGCCTTTAAAAAATGTGTCCTGAATCAATCCATTCAAATAAAGTTTCCACATTTTTTTTCATCTTTTCATCCATTGACTTAGAATCAAAGATATCAATTTTCTTTGTTAAGAAATTTAAAGTAGACATTTGTATTTTGCCCTTAATTATAATTAACTGCTTTTGAGAAGGAGGTTTATCTAAGTAACTTGATATAGAAGTCTAAATCTTTTTAAAAAGTATGTACTTTTTCTAAACAAAATACATTTTCAATAACATTTGGCCCCATAAAGCTGCCTAATTCCATCCATAGATGATAGTTAATCTATTTCTTAATGAAAGCAATTCTTGATAACCAACATAAAAGTGACATACAATTCCGATGTTTGAACTTAAAATGATGACATTGATGAATGGATATGTAAATACAAGCAGCCCTCTTCAAAGTACAAGGTATTTGGATAGCTTGATGTTTATTTTGGACTCTATTCCAATGCTTTACTTGCAAGATTAATTGTAAGTATTAAAGGGAATTTTTATTTCATTAAACAAGGGTATTACTGAAATAATGATAGAAGCAGAAATATTTTTCATAAATTATTAAGCTAAATAAGTGAAAAAGCAAGTTTATCCCAAGAATAAAAGAAAATTCCTAAAGCAAATCTCAGATCTAACAGATGACCTAGTCATATATTACATGATTATTCCATCTTACTTACTCAAATAAAAACTTAGGAGAAAAGAATAAGAAATTTCAAATATGTATAAAAGATTCTGTGATATGTATTTATTTAGTATATATTTTCAAAATATAGTTATCTCACCCATAATAAAAATGTCTTCTTTTATACAAATTACCTGACTATAATCTATGTAGGACTTGGAAGCAAGCTAACAAGGAATTTTCTTTCTTCATGGTCATTTATAATGAATGAGTAATATCCTTGTTTGAATGTTGATAAAATGCCTTAATCAAAAATCCCTTTTCTGTTCCAAATCCCAGCACTTTGGGAGGCCGAGGTCGGTGGATCACGATGTCAGGAAATCGAGACCATCCTGGCTAACACAGTGAAACCCTGTCTCTACTAAAAATACGAAAAAAAAAAAAAAAAATAGCTGGGTGTGGTGGCATGTGCCTGTAGTCCCAGCTACTTAGGAGGCTGAGGCAGAAGAATCTCTTGAACCTGGGAGGCGGAGGTTGCAGTGAGCCGAAATCGCGCCACTGCACTCCAGCCTGGGTGGCAGAGGGAAACTCCCATCAAAAAAAAAAATTAAAAAGTCACTTTCATAGTACTAACTGAAAATTGTTTTCCCCCCTTAAGTAAAGAGTCCCTGGTTTTAAATTTATTATTTCAATATATGTTTGATCAGAGACTATAAGAATACCATTTAAGTTACAAAGGCCACAAATAATCTGACTGTAAGAAAATCAACAAAGTCTTATTCAGCACGTTGATTCCAAAGAGTTTACTATGTTCTCTAAATAATCCTATTAGTGAATTTCGGGCTTGTGTTGAGTTCAATCCTTACTTTAACTGATGAGCCAATTATTTTTAATATCATTTTTGTTTATTTTATTCATTTCGGTCTCTTAGACTTTGTTCTGTGACCCCTTAATAATGTGAATTAAGCAACAAAAATGAGGATTTCCGTCTTGGAGACAAAGGAGTTGTTTCCAGAGAGTGCCACAGACTTTGGCTGAAGCCTACCCACCAAGTTTAATGGGACTCTGGCTGCCAAAACCCCATGCAACCCTTGAATATTCAGGGCTCAATGTAACTGCCATTTGCTCTCCCTCCCTGAGAGTCCACAGGAGCTCTTTCTTATTTGTTGCTTCCTAGATTTCTGCCAACTTGTTTGTTCTCAATTCTATTGATGGCACTTTCTGGCCGACTCTTGTATAACTGTTCTCCAATATTGTTCACATTGCTGGGTAGCTTTGGACAAGAAGGCATTTTAAAGATGTTTATTTACTTATTTGCAAAGAAAAATAAGTTACGCTACAGAGAGTGAAATCCTCTCTGACTTTCTTTTCAGAAAATTGTAAAAACTGAACCCATCCCGATTGAACATAAAATTTTTCCAAGACTCCTTCTCAAGATGTAACCTCTAAGAAAACACATGTTTCAAAATATGCATTCTTTATCAAGATCTGTTCATTTCCCCTCATTTGGTCATACTCATCTGTATTTTATTTTTGCCACAAGTAAGAGGGAATCTATAGGTTAAGATATCTGGGATCAGACAGTTAGAAAAAAGGTAGATAAATTCAGAAAAAATAAATGTGAACAAAAATGTTATTTGTTTAGTTTTTAATGAAGCACCAGTAAGTATACTGAGACAAAGCATTTTATTCTCAAATGATGGTAAATTTAGGGACAATACTTTGTGTTTTACCTTGGAAGATTAAAGAAATTGTTTTTATACTACTTAGTATTTTTGTGAGATTTCCTACTGCAGACAACATATAATATGGAGTGTATGGTGACATAATTTTAGTGACTCCAAGGAGTTAAGTACTGAGTAGGTATTAAAGTCTACACAAGGGTGTAAGCAAGATCTGTCAGATTTCATTTAACCAATTAATAGAAAGGGGTAAATTTTCAGTGTTCTAGGGTTATCCAATATGATCTTCTGCATTATAGGGAGGTATAAATATTTTTTTGAAAGAGAAGAAAGATTGTGTTGTTTTTATGACTAAATTACCATTATTTGAAAAATCAAGATGTGTTGGAGTCAGATTCTCTCTAGAAACATTTGTAAACTCAGCATTAAGTAGGTATAGGTATTTACAATTAAAGTTGACTTTATACCAAACTGTTGGACTTAAATACCTTAACACAATTTTCAGTTGCTGCTAGGTTTATAAGAAGAATATGACAAGACAAGAAAACCACAAATAACAATGAGTAAGATCCTTGAAATGTTTAAGATTTAATGAAATTGCTTCTCATGCAAATATCAGCTTACAAAACCCACACAAATTATAAACACTTACCATATTCACTGTCATAGAATATAATGAATTTCTGCCAGGCATACTCTGTGACCACTCTTAGGATAACGTCATTCAGGTAGACAGGTGGGCGAACTGAGAGAGTGTAGTCATCATTCCTGTTGCTCCGGGTGAGTCCACAGCCACTCCTTGGGGTCCCAGCTGTTGAGCGCTGAATGAAGAGGTGGGGGATATGCATGGCGTCTGCCAAAGACTGGAGGGATCCTGCTGACGTGCAGCCAATGGAGCTGACCAGGGCCAAGATGCCTTGATTCATAAGTTCACAGGCTGCAAGAAAGCACAGTAATATTCAAAATGTCAATGGGTTTCACATATTTTCCCTTTTTAAGAAGCAGTGGATGGATAAAGCTTACAGATTTTTTTATATAGCTACGCAAATGTTTTAGAAAGGAACATTCTATGTGAGGAGATCCTCAAATTACAAAGCGCTATTGGTATTCCAAGATTTCTGCTCTTATTAGTTATGTGACCTTGTGCAAATCATTTGGCTTCTCTTGGCTCAGTTTCATCATCTGTAACGAGGGTAAAACAGCATGAATATTGCAGGATTATTGCAAGGATTAGAGAAAACACAGTGTCTGTTATTTGCCTCTCACATGATAGATATTCAATTTGTGGTAGATAAACTTTTATAATTATCAATTTATAATTCAGAGAAAAGATAATTCCCCACTGAATGCATAATACAAGGTTTCAAAAAGTAGATAATATGTAAACTGTTGAATAAACAGAAAGATGAAGGTTTGGAGGAAAGCATTTCTGGTCACAGAAAACAGAATGATTCTGGTATCTAAAAACTTGATGACATTTCCCCTTTCCATAAATTGGAGAAACAAAAATGTTTTTGTTATTTTCCTTGACAGTAAGAAAGCTTATTGTCAAATCAAATCAATTCAAATACTACATGGTAGCCAGTGTCTCATTCTGGTTCCCAGATCAACAATTTATAATTCCTACTATATGATAACGATCTATTATTTCACTTTATTCTATGTGCATACCTCAAAAATGTACTTAAAACTACATCAAATATAAATTAGAAGTAATTGTAAAGAAATTGCATACACAGAAAAAAGAGTTAAGAGGTAATATTTCATAATGACAATCTTTGAAGATAAAAAATAAAAATAAATTCAAAAATAAGTGCAGAAGGAGTCAATGAAAAAAAGTTTTCATTTTAGAAGCTCATTTCTTGTAACTGGTTCAGCCTTACTTAGATTTTAGGCATTCTAGGTATAACATTCTTAAGATTCAAAATTTATTATAGATTGTTTTACATAGTTCTTTAAAAACTTAAAGGAAAACTTAATATATTAAGTTCTTGTATATAATGAACTGGCCAGTTAATGAAGGCTGATTTAAAGTGCAAGCTTAAAAGTGCAGTACTAATGATAAGCATATCATCACTAAATAAATTTATTATTATTAATGCTAAGCCAACCAATACATGCAAAATAAATGAACAATTATTAGAGACATATCTGTCAAGCATTGCGTCATTAAAGAGATTATATTGGTTTCCAATAAATGTGAAAGCATCAAGGATTGATTTTTTTTTTTTCTTTTTTTTTCTGAGATGGAGTCTCCCTCTGTTGCCCAGACTGGAGTGCAGTGGCACGATCTTGGCTCACTGCAACCACCGCCTCCTGGGTTCAAGTGATTCTCCTGCCTCAGCCTCCTGAATAGCTGGGATTACAGGCCTGTGCCACCACGCCCTGCTGATTTTCTTGTGTGTTTTTAGTAGAGACAGGGTTTCACCATGTGGGTCAGGCTGGTCTCGAACTCCTGACCTTGTGATCTGCCTGCCTCGGACTCCCTAAGTGCTGAGATTACAGATGTGAGCCAACACATCTGGCCCAGATGGATGCTTCTTAGACCATAACATTATGAGGTCTAATTTCAGCAAAAATTACATGTTCTAGTCTTGTTCACGAATTCAATTTTCATAGAAAATAATGTAAGTTTATGCTTAGAATTTCAATGATTAATGCAAAAAGAGTAGTCAAATTTTTATTTCAATACTTTGGTATATATGACCATTAATGATTCATATAAGCAAATAGAAAGTCACTTTTTAGAAGAGATTTTGGTTTGTAGCATTTAAAATCAAATTAAGAAAAGTGCCTTAAGGGGTACACAGTTGGAGACAATCTTTACACTCATTACAGGTAATTAAGTAAATATAATATTTTACATACTTCTACCACAAAACTTATACAGTTGTAAACATTGAAATTTGGGGAAAAATTTACTTTCAGTATTATATTCTGTCACATATAACATGGCAGGAAAATTGTCTGTTTTAATCTTCAGATTTAGAAAGATATATACCAAAATCAAAAGTCATAGATGAATCTTGCTTAGTAGATAAATTTGCTTTAGCATAAAATCTTGTTTCTTCCAATCCACTGTTACTTCCTATTAATCCCCATTAGTAAGAACACAAACTAAGCAGATACTAAAACCGGTTGTTTTGTATAAACAAGTTTGTTTTTGGATTACTATTTGGTATTACCTATTGTGCTGTTCATATTAGCAAGAATAACTGAAAATTTCCTATAAAATCAAAATCGGAATAATCAAAAATTGCAGCCAGAAAACATATAATGTCAGGCCTAAAAGATAATTTAGTGATCATGCAGTCCAAGGATGGGAAATTGGCTTTACTTGCTGTGCTTTTGATGACTTGTTGGTAAACTGGCATCCTGGAACGCTATTTTGAGAGTTTGAGACTCAATAAGAAAAATTACCAAAATCATTTTGTCAGGTTTCTCATAGAAAGAGACTGGGAGAGGGGTGGCCTGCAAGTTATAAATGTGCATGCCTCTGTTAGGGCCCAACCCTTTATTGTCAAGAAATCACATACGCCCCCACTGAAAAAACAAAACAGATGACCTAGCTCTCTAACCCATCATCTTTTTCACCACAACAAGCAAACAATGGAGAGTCTGGTATTTGTATCCTCAAAATTTTGCATAGCAAAGTAAAGATAAAGCTCTAAATAGGGGAAAGCTCAATTTGAGATTGTTTTGTTGTGAAGTTTGTCAAAAGGAGGTAGTCCCACTGAAGAGGAAAGGAAGACCTCACACAGCTACAATGAAATGGGACTGGATGACTCAAAACAAAACCGCAGTTGTGCACATATAAGAACAGGCCTCCACAGCAACCTGCCATTTCCCCTTCAAGGCTGTATTTGATGCCTGTTTTGCCCCATTTTATCAAAACAAAACGTTGGTTGAAGCATGGAAGATAGAAATTGATTTGCTCTGGATCTATATGGCCCTAGATGAAGGTTAGTATAAAAAATAGACGATAACTCATGGCAGCTGAAGGGAGATTTCAGGGAATAAAAGGCTGCAATAAGAACACAAGCCACGCTTAATAAAGCAGACTACCTTTTGCAAGAATTTCATGTCTTGACAATTCAAATACTTCATTATTATGAGTTGTAGTTTCATAGAATGCATAGCCAGTTCATTTGATATAGGATGACAACTGAATTTGGAAGATCAGAACGTGTGTGTGTTTATCCACTATTTTAAATTAAAATAATCTAAACCTAGGACATTCCAATGGCATATTTATTATTATTTCGAGCCTTGTGATTTATTTATACTATATATTCACGTATACACAAACATCTATACATACAGACCATATTGAAAAGTTTGCTGGTTTTGTGACTCCAGTTGTTTGAGATTCTATCACTATCAAAGATGTTTGGAGCCTGCACTAATTGCCAAAAGCACAACTATTATTTTTATTATTTTTAATAGCAATTGCAACACTTTTACCATTTGTGGTCACTCTGCAGTTATGGAATTTAATTCTGCTCTATAAATGTATACATTTATGCTAAGATATATTCATGTA